TAAAAAAAAAGAAAAAAAAAAACGAATTTGATTAACAACTCACGGTCGAAAACGAAGACGAGCGGATTCCGTTCACGACCAATCGATTGACGAGCATAGATTGGTGTAAGGGACCGCGTGACTCAAAAGCTTTAGTTTTCGTTGTCTCGGGTGTCGTTGTCATCGGTCCCGGTGTGATTTTTTCTGGATCTGCTAAATTAATCTGTGCGGCGAGCAAGTGCAACTTCAGGCTAAAATTTCGTTAACACTACCTGAAAGGCACCTGACATCTATTTCACTCGTTAAAGTGAACTTCCTTCATGGTCTCTTGGAGGGAAAACACGCAGAAATTTACTTTCAGCTCGCAAAAGTACATTTATGATTGGATTAACATTATCCACACGAAAAACAAGAAATATGGTACTCTGAAACTCTCTGGCATGTTTCAACAATACCAGGTTGCCGCTCATTCATTGGTTAAAACGTTTGGAGCATTCTTTGGGAATATGCTGAATGCAGTGGCACACCGACTTGTTTTTGAGTGGAAAAGCAAACCAGAACCCCCCCCCCCCCCCCTTTTTTTTTCAGGGCCAGGAGGCGGTGCCCTTGGTATCCCTTGGGTGCCGCCGGCCAGTGCTTGCCCTGCCCAGTGGCTGCTGTTTCGGGGGGGGGGGGGGGGGGAGGGGGGGGGGGCGAGCACATGCCTCGCCCCCCCCACTTGAGAACTGAGGGGCAAGGTCCCCTCTTGCCCCACCCTCCCCCCAGTTGGTACGCCCATGTTTGAATGATGCTCTGGCATGAAACCGTGGACGCGCTTTAGTTGCTCTTCGCCATACGAAAGAACGCCAAAGGTGAAGGAAGAAAATGCAATTACACGCGGTGTACAGCAGAGTGTGAGGTGGAGCGTGAAGGTGGACGTCACCTCACAGGACGCCGCTTCCCACGACACGACGGGGGATGGACGAGACACGACTACGTCGAGCAGCTACTCCAAGGGGTTCTCGGGCTACTCGACAAGTTTTAACAAGAACACAACCACGACCCAGGCCCTTATGTATGCAGCGAAGTATTTTCGCCTTTCAAAAAATTCCTTTGAGCGTGCAACGATTATAAACACGCTACGGTATTCATATCACCATTGATGCCTACACTCTCAAAAATAGGAGGTGTAGTGCTCACATCTCTCGTTTGATATATAGGGTGGTCCAAGTCACCAGTCTCGATTCAAAAAGGACCGTAAAAATCGACGCCTGCACGTAGCAATCTAATCTTTTCGTCAAAGGTGTATTTCACCAAGTCGGTTTTTTCTTGTAAAATTACAACGCGTAGTTCTCTTTCTGTAAGAAATAAGGCCAAGAAACTTGCCAGGGTCTACGGCAGCAGCGACGCAGACGACAGGGGTTCAGTAGCGGGGTGTGTTTGGTGTTCGTATTTAGATGGCGTTATCTCCTTATCGCGACTATAGAGTTCCTGCATAGGCTCCCTACCGGAGCCAGAGTTACGCGATCACGTGAGGAGCCGGATCAAGTGCCGTGCAGGAAAGTAGACGTTGCACGCGCCCCGGCGTACGTTCCCCTGCTTTTGAGTGCGCCGCGCGCCTCGAACGCGCGGCGCCGCTATTCGCCGAATTCAGTCACGTGACGAACGGGATCAACATGCCGTGCAGGAAAAACGGCGCTACGGAGGTGAACGCGCAACTCTGGCTCCAGAAACTCTAATCGCGACGGCTCGCGACCACCCTGGTTTGTTAAAATGAACCAGGGATGGGCAAAATACATGCAAATATGTATCGAAATACAAATACAAAATACTTCGTCAAAATGTATTTAATTACAAATTTAATTACATTTCCAAAAAAAGCATTTAAGTACAAGATACAAATACAACCAAATGTATTTGGTCTCCTCCAAATACATTACCAAATACATCCCTCAAGATTTGCATCAGCGACTACAGGGCACCTACAACGGGTTTCTGGGTATCTCATTTTAATTTTGCATCGCACACTCGGGAGTTGGTGTGCGAGGCTCTAGTAACGTAATACAAATATAATCCCAAAAAAAGGGAATCAGCTTGGATGTAATAGGTGAAAAAAGTACAGAGCTTCAAGCAGCTTTTTTTGCCGATTACATTTGGGTAAAGGCCAACAGAGAACCAAGACGACCAAGACGCGTAGCATTAGCTAGAAAAGTTTTTATTGTTGCAACTCGCACCAGGTACGAAAATCTGGACGACCCGCGCATTTAGAATGTTCCAGGCAAAAATATGTATGGAGATCAGGCTGGAAAGCATCACAAGTTGTCACAGGCACTTATTTAGCCAGTCTGCCTGTGAACGTCGATTTCGTCACTATTCTTGCCCTGGACTAGCGCCGTAATAACAGTCACTAAACGCTTGTGACTGATTGAGGGACACTGTATTCAGTGCAGAACGTAGTTTTCTTCCTGCTCTGGACACGTCTTAGGATGAGCAAAATGAGTCGTGACAATAAATTTGAGGGATGTATTTTCGCCAACACAATTGTATTTAATTACAATTGTATTTGAAATACCCACGTTTTAGTATTTAAGTACGTACGTCAAATACATTACCCAATTTGTAATTAAATACAAATGCAAAATACACAAAGTATTTAAAATACGTATTTCAAATACTTTTATTTGAAATACTGCCCATCCCTGGTATAGACCAACAAAGAACCGAGACGACCAAGACGCGCAGCACTAGCTAGAGAGTTTTGTATTGTTGCAACTCGCACCAGTTACGAAAATCTGGATGACCCGCGCATTTAGAATGTTGCAGGCAAAAATATGGATGGAAATCAGGCTGGAAAGCATCACAAGTTGTCACAGGCACTTATTTAGCCAGTCTGCCTGTGAACGTCGATTTCGTCAATATTATTGCCCTGGACTAGCACCGTAATCAGAAAGTCACTAAACGCTTGTGCTTGATTCAGAGACACTGCTATAGGTGCAGAACGTAGTTTTCTTCCAGCTCTGGACAGTGACAATAAATTTGAGGAATGTATTTCCGCCCACAAAATTGTATTTAATTAAAATTGTATTTGAAATACCCACGTTTAGTATTTAAATACACACGTCAAATACGTTACCCAATTTGTAATTAAATACAAATGCAAAATACACAAAGTATTCGAAATACGTATTTAAAATACTTGTATTTGAAATATTGCCCATCCCTGAAATGAACATAATAGTTTTGAAATGTACCTTCGGTAAAAAAATAAACGTGGACAATAAAAGCAATACTTCAAGTAAAAAAAAAAAAATATACGCGCCTGCATAACGGCGGCGCTTTTGCTGCCAACGGATTTCGTCTGCGTGTCGTCTGCTTTCTTTCGCTGGTCGGCTGCAACTTCGGACACTGCTCCCGACGCCATCTATCAATACGAACGCCGAACACACCCCGCTACTGAGCCCTTGTCGTCTGCGTCACTGCCCGCCGTAGAACCTGGCGAGTTTCTTGGCCTTATTTTTTACAGAAAGAGAACTACGCGTTTTAATTTTACAAGAAAATACCGACCTGTGAAATACACCTTTGACGAAAAGTTTAAATTGCTACGTGCAAGCGTCGATTTTTACAGTCCATTTTAGATCGAGCCTGGTGACTTGGACCGCCCTATATAACACCCCCCAACAACATTTCGACATTCAGTCAATTAACGTCGAACTGACGATACCAACTTTCACAAGCAGCTTGATAGCTGTGTGATGTAACTTAATAAATAGCTAATGTACATCGGGTTTAGATGAAATTCGAACAGTGACGAAACTTCGAGCCCACTGTCGGCGCAACTTCCAAGCTTGGGTTGTGTTTGGAGAGGCTCAAGCACGTCGGAGTAGGACGAACAACCTCGCAGCGCCATACTCCGATGTGGTTGAACCTCGCCAAGCACAACCAAAGCTTGGAAGCTGCACTGGCAGTGGGCTCGAAGTTACGACACTGTTCGCCTTTCATTTGAACCCACTGGTACGTATCAAAAACTGTATAAAAATCACCGAGGTTTTGCAGCAGAAGCTACAAAACCTTGAGTATTTTTTATATAGTATCAAATGTGTACATTAGCTATTTTAAAAAAGTCGTAGCACTCGACTATCAAACCACTCGTGAAAGTTGGTATCGTCGATTCGACATAAGTGGACTCAACGTCGAATTGTTTTTGGGGTGTTCATTGGACAAAGGCTGTAAGTACTACACCCCTTATTTCTGAGAGTGTACATCTTAACTCACAAAGGAATCTTAATGTTTTTCATTGTTCTCCTGATATGCTGTCTACAGTAATTATTTGTAACGTAATAGCCGATCATCATACTTAGGGCACGTGGTATGCTTAAGTTATTATAACTGCGTCAATTGCAATCTCGCAAGGAGTTTGTTTATTTTGATTACTACCACCATATAGCGGAAAATACTTCCGGCGCATGCTGAAGGCGTCTATCATTTGTGATTGTTCGCGTTGAAGGGTCCACTCTTGAGACGCTCACTTTTTCGTGAGCGTTTGGGTTCTGCCATATATATCCTCTTGAATTAAATAGATACATTTTTAATTAGGCATTAAATATATATAGTTTAAATTATCTTATGTGGAAATAGTTTACATTATAGTACTATCTTTTCTTAAAGGCTTATAATGTTTGACCGTTCAGTAACATTCCTAATCGATACACTTCTTCTAGGTGACAAATTTTGCCGTCTTTGCGTTCGGAACCAAAGATCAGAGTTTCTGGCTGTTTTAATTTAAAGCCCTTCTTCGTACACACGTTCAAATGCTGCTTGAATTATTAAACATATGTCTCGCCTTAAATCATAATTGGTAATGTGGCCAATAAACACAAAATAACATAAAAGGCTGTATGTAACCATTACGGAAGACTTATAATATTTTTATAAGTTCTGATATGTTTATTGGGCAAATTATGGAAGTTGCTTCCCTTTTCAGTGGGGCTAGGGGTAAAGAGAAACAAAAGCAGCGGGAATCATGCCATATGTTTCATCAGTAGCGATACTTTCTCGACGGTAACCTTTACAGCCGAGAAGATAATGGGAAAGGCGGTTCTTATTGGTGGTTCGTCATCGGAGCCATACCAGTGTCCACGTTTTTGCTGGTGACGATCCCCATCGCAGTATTCCTCCGAAGTTTTGTCGGTAAGCAGCACTTGCGGTAGCCAAAGAATGTGAGCTGTGACGTGCTCACCATGCGGACTTCCTCCTCGCAGGCTTTGACAGAGTACGTCTATGTGAGACCAGGGCCTGCAGAGAAGCGGGTAAGTGGCATTTATTCTCCCCCCTCCCCCCCGATAAATGAATAAAAAAAAAAAAGATCGCGTTTTGTTTCTTCTTTTTATTATGGGTAATACCGTGACTGAACGACCTATCGGTGATATCCAGCCTATTGAAGTTGAGCAGTTTTGTGGTTCCCAAAACTTACCGTCACTAAAAGTTGTTCAATAAATGCAGCCGAAAACATAAAGTGTAAAACAGATGCGAGGGAGCTAGTAATGAAGGGCCAATATAGTGTCTAAACCAGAGACCACATATCGTAATAGTTACCGTTTTCTTTATGTAAACGACAGTTATTTGTAACCGTCTGCCCTACACGAAATCGGACATGGAGACTCCCTAAATTACGCCCACCGCTGATAGATATCGGGAGCTCATAGTTCGAAATCCAAAGAAATATAAGTTACATAAGTTATTAACTTGCGGTCGCGCACGTTACATATTTGTCCGTGCCTTGTTTTGCTTATCCTCACACCTGGTTGCTATACGAGGTGGCGCAGAAACGCGGTGGAATGCTCAGTGAACAATTATAGACTTGTAGCAAGTGACGAGGTTGTGGTGGTCTCTAACACCGGTTCGTCTTCTTTGACTCCAGGAAAGTTTTACGAGTCCATGATTGACAAGGGACGCGTAGATCCGTGTGAAGATTTCTACAGTCACGTGTGTGAGAAATGGAATCGAAACGCCCGAATCCCGCCCTTCTCGCGCAAGTACTCATTCGACGACTGGATCGTTTCTGACATCGAAAAAACTATCTATACCGAAGTGGAAGGTGTGTATATTAGTGACCATGGATATAATAACAACATGCGTTGCTGCATATTAAAAAGCTAAATATATAAAAAAAAAGCTTCTTTAGCCGAGAAAAAGCTTGCTGCGAGAACGAGGTATTCATCAGCAAACAAACGGGTTTCTCAGCGTTTGATACAGGTTAGAGCAATCACTATAAATTAAATTACTGCATTGAAAAAATGTGCTCAACTGCCATCATGACAGACGTGGCGATTCACTATCTTTTTCTAATTGGTGTGATATTTTTTTCTGTAATGTGTACAGGTTTGGTTTTTCAATGCAAAACTGTGATCGTCCCTGTTTAAAGTGGCAGAAGTTGAGTCTTGACGTTCCATGACACATAGTAGTGTGTATTATTTTATGTCAAACGTACTGTGCCAATAAATACAAAATAAAATATATTCTAGCATTAATAAAAAAAATTAAGTCTTGAATACTTATATCAAAGCAGTAGAACTCGAAATTACTGACCTTTTGATTTTCCGTATAAGCAACTTTGTGTTTTATTTTTGAGTTGCACTCTTTTATAACTCGAATGGGACGCAATTAATAACGCATGAACTTTTTAAATTTTCGATAAACATTTTTATTTAACTGCAACAATTCTGTTGCGAAATTGAATTAGGAAACCTCGGCTTAGTGGAGCTAACCTTACTCAATGTTAGCGCACCTCCTTTGTAGGCCACATATCAAATCGCATAATAGCAGACGTATGTTCGGTCATATTTCATATATAAAAAAACGACAGGTTAAATAGGCGCAAGTAAAACAAGCATACGACTATCACATTGTTGCTAACTGAAAGTTTATTTTAGCTTCCATCACAGAGCAAGGACAGATCATGAATCAAATGACCCATATACCGGTGCGCAAATTCGAGGCGATTTTTGCAGCTTGCCAAAACGCAGGTACGTACGCACAAAAAATGTTTCTTTTTAGTGAACTTATTTTGTAGCAAGACTAAAAACAACGCCATTCTTGTGTGATAATATAATTCAGTATGAAGTGATAAAGTTGACGTAACTTTGATTTAATATGTGGTACCTTTTGGTCTAGGTTTTGGAACCTTCGATTAATGCCAGGCGCGTAGCGTCATCCCTTGTGGTACCTCTTTTCGCACAGGGGGCACGGCCAGCGGTAATTCGCGCTCATCTTAATTGTAGTTGATTTATTTTGATTTAGGAGTTTTTAATGCGGAGAGAGATACAATAACTTCTGCTGCTACCCAAGCTCGTACTGCACTGTTTTTTTGTTGTTCCGTCGTGATGTCGCCTGATATCATGACGTCACGATACGTCACGACACATCGCGTGGCGTCACGCGGCCTCAGGTCACAGTGCTAAGTCGTCGTGGCAAACGCACATATATTTGCGAGATACAGATTGTAGAGCCCACAATTCGAATTTTTTTAAAAATACAATTTTTCAGAAAGAAATGGCAGTACCGAGGACATAAAAAAAGTTCCATTGATTTTGGGCCTGGAGCATTTCCCGTCCCTGGACCCCGAAGGCGACCCCAAGATCTCGGTGATCTCCGGGAGGCTGGCCAAGGACTTCGGCCTCTTTCCTCTCGTCAGTGTCGGGCTCCGAGTGGACCCGGAGGACTACTCCAAAGTCATCATTTATGTACGTTAAACCAACACACTTTGTATATTTAAGACTACTGAAAGCTTATAGGCCCTGACACGTTTTACCCTTTGGAATCAGACAGTTACTTCGGCTTTGGCCGAATACACGGTGGGATTGAAAACCGGGGTGAAGAGTAAAAACCAAGATTAACTAAATCGTAATGTAAATCATGATTTAAATGACACCTATTTTATCACGCTAATGTCAATAAAACCTTTCCCGCAAAAAACAAACAGACAAGGTTTTCTTTTCTCGTGATTTGCCCGTATATTTCGGACGTACATAGGTGACTTCATTTTAACCGAGCAACATTTTCCGTGAACAAAAACCTTGCGATGATGTTTATGGAAGGGTTGTCAGCAGCGTTTAGCTGTGCAGTTCATTTCAATAAAACAATCATAATAACATTTTAACGTTCTTTTTTCAGCTGGAGGAGCCTGAAACGACTGCATTACCCAAATTCATCCTGTCCACGACGGAGTCCTCCAACTGGCTTCGACAAAGCGTCTGCGATGCCATGCTCACGGTGTACGGTATCGTTCCCACAAACGACCAGTGGGACACGCTTTGCGACAACATTCAAGCCTTTGACATTGACCTCATCAAAGTGGGTACAGAGACGTTGGCCACCTGTGGACACTATAGACTCTTTCCAGAAGTTCATCAAGCAACACTGGCGGCCGCCATAATTTGAGCATGTCATGATTCGATCCGATTTCACGCCGAACTCTAAAACAGCAGATGTGTCCAGTGCATGCTGAAAGCGCGTGTCCAAAATATGACGGCCTATAAAAACAAAAACAAAAACAAAAAAACAACAACAACAACAACAACAAAACAACATTACTTAGAGATATTGAAGCTTTCGAGAATGTTGTAACAGTTTCCTGTGTTTGAGTGAAGGCGAGCGTCCATTATTCGAACATAAAATGTGACAAAGTGAAGGAGCTATTAATAATCTATACCTAATAAGAAAAAAATTAAATAATTAATTTGTCATTTGCTTCAAAATATGATTCGCTTGATTAACACACGTGTAAGTTCAAAGCTTACTTCTACGTTGACTCGCGCGAATATAATAAAATAAATGGTGATGTCAAATCCTAACCGGTACTTACACGAAACTCATCTCAGTTTACTATTACATGTGAACAGTAAGGCCTAACAAAAAAATAACACGTCTTCTTCACTTATCCTCTGAAAGCAGGCCGGCTACCAGTGTGTCAAATCTTGAACAACACCTTTGTCCCTAAAACGTGTTGTTTGTTAGTACTTTGAGATAAATATCACAAGCGCCAATTCACCCTGTACCGTAGGACAACGCTCTCTGGCAATGAAGTAAAATCTATGCGTATCCGAGCTCTCGCACACCTTGATCACCTCTCAAGGTTGTGCACACACGGTCTTCACTTATGAAATACCATAAAGAGTTGTCCGGATTATAGTCTTCTCGTGCAGTGTGCTTTAGTGTTGACAGCAAACAACACGCAGGTATTACCAAACGTTTTAAACGATGAACTGCCGCAAAATATTTTACGAAGTTATGATGTGGATATAACTACGAGTATACCAAATATTTGATTTGCTCCAGAGGCTTCGTTATGCAGAAGGACACCGTCCAGGAGATTACTTCGAAAAGAAAGTTCTAAAACTGAAGGAACTGGACAACTCCTTTTATGTAAGTCTCACCATGATATGGCTCCCAGCCGTCGAACTAATGGGTGTCGTCACTCTGTGATGTTCTAGTGGAACTGGATGACCTATTTGAAAACTATTTTCGAAGGAACATCAATTACCATCGGGCCACATACTAAGGTCCTTGTGGGAAACGTGAAGTACGTTGCCGGACTGGCACGTTTTCTGCAAAAACAGTCCAAGTAAGTCGTAGGAGAATATCATCTGATGCTTCCTTTTTGATTAAACGTGATGGAACGAAAAGGGGGGGGGGGCGCCATGAATTCGCACAACTCGACAGCACCGACGGCAGAGCATGCGACAGGAGAGCGCCGCGACACGAGAACGCACGGCAGCAGAGCTGCAATGCGCACGACAGAAGAGCGCAGCGACGCGAGAGCGCGTGTCGTTGGAGCGCGCGACACGAGAGCGCTGAACAACAACTGCAGTCACTAAGGTGCCTTTCCCGGTAGCTGAACGTCCAAGTATCCAATCCCCTTCTGTAGTAACTGGGCCCGTTTGCTCGGAGCCGGTTAATTTTATCCGCGGTAAAAAGTTAACCGTATTTCGCTATTAGAGGGAATTTTAAGTCACGTGACCGGCAGAGTAAGGACGACAGGGAAACATGGCGGTGCCCCTGCGAGCGACTGTCGCTCGCTTTGGGTCGACTATGTCGTAGTATCTGCAATATCGGGCGCGCCAGTCAGCAGTGAATGGTGCAGAAGGCTTTCGCTTTGCCTTACCTCACTTAAATCTCAAAGCATGGGCAATGATCTTGCCGCATTTTTTAGTTAGTCTTTTGATTTCGGCCATTCCTAAGCCTAAATGAAGGCGGTAATTGCCGGCACGGCAACGTCTTTGGAATACTGTATAGTGGATTGCCTTGACTCAATTGGTCGGGTATTGATAGCACGCAGAAGCAGACAGCGTCCTAATAAGCGTTTTGCTAAATTTCTCAAGCACCAAGGTGCATGCTACGAGTGTAGCTGCACGAGCTGTCGTCTGCAGTAGTAACTGTTCTTGTGGAAGGGCCTAAAACAAATTTCGCCTTGCACGCGCGTTGGTCAAAGCCCTATTATGATTATTTATTTCGAATCTTTTATACGGGGAAGGCCAGCGCGTGCCGAGCGTAGAATTACACTTTCAGCATTCTCCTCGATGCTTGGGTGATTTAGAAATATGTCTATTTTCACTAAAGCCGAATTACACGGTTTTCAATTCATGATGGTGTTACATACATGTTCTACCATGCTGGCCAACCATGCTGCCGGTGTACCGTCCGCCTTTCACTGCCCACTCCTTCCTCATCGTTTCTAGGACTTCTCCGTCCTCTTTCGAACTTGAAAGCAAATTTCAACGAGGCTGTTTTCACTTCAGACAGCCAAACATTTATTTTACAAACAAAGGTTAATTTAAGGTGAACATTTCGGCAGACGTTTGCCTGGTTGAGTTAAACGTGATAAATAAACAGCTAACGCCAACCAATCCCTAAAAAAAGGTAGGGTCCCAACGTTTCGGTGCCGGCTCGGCACCTTCTTCAGGGGGACTATTTAAAAGAGAAGCAGCTTCTTTCTGTTGTTCTGCAGCGAATGTACAACAGTATCTTCGTTTTTTACGGCGGTTAGTATTCAAACCAGGTGCGGTATTTCCGCTTTCTTCGGAGTTGGTTATTTACAAAACGAGGATCAGCATCAGCATCTTCGTTTTTCTGTTTCTTTGGTGTTTCTTCTAAGTCTAGTAGTCCACTGACGTATGCCGAGGGCAAGGTGCCGGTGGATCGGTTAATGTTCCCTGGTGTGGTCTGTATGTGCCACGACTCAATAAAGAGCCGTTGGCGCCTGTTATTTTCTACATCCAGGATTCGGGTGTTTTTAAAGCCGATGCGGTGGTCATTGTTATCGCAATGTTCCGCAACAACGCTACGCTCTCGGTCAAATTTGCGTACGTCATTTTTATGTTGGCGTACTCTTTTCATGAGGTTTTTCGTTTCGCCGACGTATGAAGCGGAACACTCATCACAGGGAATTTGGTAGATAACGCCTTGTGTTTTTTCTTTTGGTGGACGCTCTTTCAGACAAGGCATTAGGCGCCCATGTGTCAAAACTGGTTTGTGAGTCACCTGAATACCTTCTTTGGATCTATCCCAATCAAACATCAGTCAAGCTGGGAATCTTACGTGTCTGAGAACTACTTCAAAGAGCACACAGCAGAAGCGCAGTCATTGTGCGTTTGTTCTCTAAAGTAGTTTGCCTGAGTCTACTAATGCAAGGCCAGCGCAAAAACATTTCTCTTCAATAGAGTTTCTAATGTCAGGCGAGTGCCTTGTGTTGTGTTGCAGTGAACAAATTAGACGTTAAAGTTGTAGATTTTTCACCAGCATTACTACACCAGCTCTGAGGTTAACCAATACGCTGAGAGTCGAACTGCGATTTCGTAAAAAATAACGCATCGTTTTTGTCTGCCTGAGTTCTTATTTATAATTCTAAAAATACTGCGGCTCTCCCGCGAGAACCATAACAGGAATGTCGTACAAAGTTAAAATATAAAACAAATGGCATGCACACACGAGCGATCTAAGTTAATATACAAGAAAAGGAGCATGTACGCAAAAGTGATCTAAATAAAAAGGTCGTTAATAGCATCCGTAAAATTCTCAATCAGAGGAAGGATTGCTACTTTTTCATGTAGCGAATTTTATTCTTGTATTTCCCATTACAATCACATTTCCATTATAATGGCGCCTTGGGGTGGAAGACGCCATAACCAAGTTTTATTATTTTTTCTAGTAGAGACATTGTGAAAATCATCACATGGCAGCGTAAATCGCCTCGTGATTTCCATCGCAGTTTGTTTTCTCGCACCCTACAAGTCCGCGAAAACAAACAATAACTTACTTAAATCAGTCTTCTCAGTGACACATAGCTGTTGACGGCTAACCTTGCCGTGCGCTAGTTAAGTCCCGAGCAACCAAAGTCGAGTGTGACCGAAACTACCACGAACATCAGGGACGTCATCTACAACTACCTGGGATATCGGGTGCTGTTGCGTCTTGGCCTGCTGTACCGGACTCACGAGAACCACGTGAAGACGCTTTACTACCGCTACCATTTGGGCTACAAGACGGAGCCCGAGCGCTGGCGGCTGTGCCTGCGCTACGCCGAGAGGAGCATGCCCATGGCCGCATCCTGGATCTACCACATGTGGATTAAGAAGAAGTTTGGCCTCAAGGGGGACAAGGTAAGACCCTCGCTTCTCTCGTAAGTTATACAATAACGGGTTTTGTTTAATGCCGGCAAGGGAATGTGTGTCGCAGTGTGTTAATGCAGCGCAACTCAGAGCACCTGGAGCGAAAGCTCGCGCTGAAGAACCTAGTGATCCTGGTATCAATCCTCACCCCTGCTCGTTTCGATCTGAATAAGCATTGTACTAGCGTGCGTTCGTGCATCATTATTGCGTGATACACATTAGAAACCCCAAGCTAGCAGGGGTACTACACTGGTATCATTTATACCGAACACATCAGACGACCACTGGAGCTCACTATCTTTCCGCCAACTAAACAAGCACAAAACATGTTTAAATTTAGGCTACGCAGTCTTTTAGATAAATATAAAGCCACTAAAAAGGCAACACCTCAAGGTATTGGCATGCAAGACATATTGATGCTTGAATTTATTGTTGTCATCTGAAGCTTGCTCTGGAATCACAAGATACGCTTTTCCGTCATGGGGCATATCAGAACCATCCGTGAAAGAGCAAAACGATATCTACTCAGCTTCCTGACACCACATGAAAGTATATGAAGTCGCACTGTTTAATTGTAACTATTGAAAGTTGCTCCCGCCCTGTTGCGCTCCCTGAATGGCGGCGCCAGCTACATATTCTGAAGGAATTGAGTGCAGATACTTAATCTGACATGGAGAGGTAATGAAGAAAAGTTTTTTTTTACCAACTTAGCGCCCTCTAGAAGATATGCACTCAACATCAAAATTATTCATCCCGCATTTCAGCTCTGGATAAAATTCTTCAACGTCTACCGGAAGTTGTACGAGAGCATCGACTACTCCTACGCCTACAGCTACTTGACGACAGCTGACGCACGCGTGGAGGCGTATCGAAAGGTATGAGGCATTTGGTTTACAAACATAAGCAGAATTTACTGCCTCAGGGGTCGTTCACAGATTTGCTACCACTTACGACCGAGTGCGCTACGACCTCTTGTGATCTCTTACGACCATTAAGCACAGTGGTGCCATCCATCGGGTAGCCATGTAACAGTGGCAATTTTCGTATACTGTCGAGACTGGTTAAAACGAAGTCGATGGGAATCTGAAATAATTTCGCGACACCGACTTCTTCGTTTTATCTGAGCTTCATAAAAATAACACGAGAGAATAAAAAAAAAAGAAGCTAACTCGGGTTGTTATGGGCACATCTTTATCGCGCCTGCAGAAAGCAGTCGAGGCTTCCCTGCACGAGCGCTATACTTGATCGGAGCCGCTTTTCGCGAACTGCGAGGAGCTCCGATCGAAAGAAGATCCTTCGAGCTACATACGGACCTCGTCCAGAGCCCTACCGACAGCTGCAACGGTCGCCGTAGAGGATGCGGGCGGTGGACGGCATTCTTTACGTTGATGCGCACCTCGTCTAAGTTGGCGGTACGCTGATGGTGGAACGCGTTTGTTTCAAGGAGGTTGGTTTCGTCTTCCCCGTCGAGGTGCCGGCGGTGTCGGAACTCGCCATCGTTGAGTGGCGCTGGCGATGAGTCGCCGAATCGGTTCTTGTGCGAAGCTAGACTTTCGCGAAGCAAACAAAGCGCGCTGTGCACCGAGTTCGCGCTCATGTTCCTGTTTCGTCGGTTTAGAGACCCTAGATTTAAAAAAAAAAAGGACAACTTTACGTGGTTTTTGGGCCGGGTTTGCAAAACGAGCTGCAGCCTGCAAGGAGTCAAAAGCGTTCACCGTCCACAAACGTGTCCGCCTCTGCGCCCGGTTTCCGCGGCCTCTCTGGCCACAAGGCAACCAAATGCAGGCGCACTTGAGCCCATCTGCCAAGGAGGTGTCCCTCATCAAACTGTCTCAAACCTAAGTTCTTTCCGTCGTCTCCGTCGGTACGTCATAGTTACGTTGTCGCCAGTACTCCGAACGCTCCTATCGGCGCGTCACAGCGGCTACTCCGTGTGCCATGCGGAAAAGTCGGTTCCCAGATAAGGAGCGGGGAGCAGACGACGATGCAGAGGCTGCCGCCAGTGGCCTTGGCAGCAGGTCTGCGGCTCGATCTGTGCGGCTGCTTGGTCGTGGCAGAAAAGTGCGGCGGTCTTCGACTCGGCAAACTTTCAGAATTTGTTTATTTTTTTAAATGATCAGAAAATGTCTCTTCGCTATATCCGCGGGAGCTGCTCAATTTCCTTCGCTAAACACAGACACAAACACATTAAAAAAGTGCAAAGGATAATAGGAAATCGTGGTCGCTTCGTTATATTGTCACGGGTGGTGACCAAAAGAAACAATAAATACACAGAAAGAAATAAACGTTTAATGTGGCGAACTTGTGCCAAAAATAAAAGGAAATAGAAAAATAACAACAGGGCGTCGCGGGCGTCGAAGGCGGCGAAGCAGCAAGGTCGAACGCTGAGGCGAAAACTGACTCGACAAGGTCGCGGGCGGCCTCTTATCTAGAGTGCGTCGCTATCTCGAAGATTCGGCGAAAGCGGCTGGAGCGTCGCGTGATCGGGCGAGAATGAACACGCACTTTCTAGAAAACAAAAGCAGGAACAAATGATAGAAGTTACATGCGGTACATGAATAAACGAGAACTTTCTGGAGGTCCGTGACTGAGCGTTGCTTTCTCAGCCCTGGGCGCGGCATTATCCCCCCCTTTAAAAGTGCATCGTCCCGATGCAGCACAAAAACGGAAAACAAAAAAACAAAAGGACAGCAGAATTGCTAGCCGGAGTTCACAGTCCACAGTTCACTCGTCGACGAGAGTGGAGAGTCCTATCGTTCGTAATACGGCTTCAGCCGGACGACGTGCACTACCTCGGGTCGCGGCTGACGTCTTGCAGATGGGCGGGTTCCGTCGGGAAGGACTTCGTAGTTTAAGTCCCCGAGACGGCGAAGCACCTTGTAGGGTCCAAAGTAGCGCTTGAGAAGCTTCTCGCTGAGACCGCGGCGCCGTATTGGTGTCCACACCCATACCCGGTCTCCGGGTTGATAGTGGGCGTCACGCCGGCGAAGATTGTATCGGCCGGCGTCGACATGTTGCTGGTCTTGAATTCGTAGTCTTGCCAGTTGGCGGACCTCTTCTGCCCGTTGAGCAACCACCTGGGCGTCATCGCTTCCGTCGTCGACTGGATCGTGCGGCAACATAGAGTCTAGCATAGTCGTCACCTTCCGGCCATACACCAGCTGGAAGGGCGTCACTCTTGTGGTCTCTTGTACGGCCGTATTGTAGGCAAATGTGACGTATGGCAATACCTCGTCCCATGTCTTGTGCTCCACGTCGACGTACATGGAGATCATGTCGGCGATGGTCTTGTTGAGCCGCTCCGTCAAACCGTTTGTCTGCGGATGGTATGCAGTTGTCCGACGGTGGTCCGTCTGGCTTAGACGAAGGATCTCCTGGGTTAACTGCGCCATGAACGATGACCCTCGGTCTGTGATCAGGACTTCGGGGGCGCCATGCCGGAGGACGATGGACTCGATGAAGAACTTCGCGACTTCGACAGCAGTCCCCGAAGGAAGGGCTTTCGCCTCGGCGTAACGCGTAAGATAATCTGTGGCGACGATTATCCAGCGGTTTCCGAGGGTCGACGGTGGAAAAGGGCCCAGCAAATCCATTCCAATTTGCTGGAACGGTTTGGTTGGAGGGGGAATCGGCTGAAGGCGACCTGCTGGCTTTGACGGCGGTTTCTTGCGTCGCTGGCACTCATGGCACGATCGCGTGTAGAGATGGACGGTTTTCGGCAGCTTGGGGCAGTAGTATTTTTCACGTATTCGGGCTAGTGTTCGGCTGTAACCGAGGTGTCCTGAAGTTGGGTCGTCGTGGCAGGCTTGAAGAATCTCTTCTCGAAGGCTGGTGGGGACTACCAGAAGCCACGACGAATTACTGGTTCCAAAATATTTCTTATAAAGTACACCTCTTCGAATAGCGAAGGTCGGCAGGACTCGTGAAAAGACACGAGAAACGGTACTTCCTCGTCCTTCTAGATGCTCAATCAGGGCGCGGAGCTCCGGATCGTCTCGTTGAAGTCCTGCCATGTCGTTGGTGTCCACGGCACCTAGGAAACACTCGTCATCATCCACGTCGGTACAGTCTGGCGTTTCGACGGGGGCTCTGGACAAGCAGTCGGCGTCGCTATGTTTCCGTCCTGACTTGTAGACTACGGTCATGTCAAATTCTTGCAGTCGAAGACTCCATCGAGCCAGGCGTCCTGAAGGGTCTTTGAGGTTTGCAAGCCAACAGAGCGAGTGGTGGTCTGTGACCACCCGGAACGGGTTCCCGTATATGTACGGACGAAACTTTGTGATCGCCCATACAACCGCGAGACATTCTTTTTCCGTCGTGGAGTAATTTTTCTCCGCTTTTGACAGTGTCCGACTTGCGTAGGCAATAACTCGCTCCGTGCCTTCCTGTAGCTGTACCAATACCGCACCAAGGCCGGAGTTACTTGCGTCCGTGTGAATTTCGGTTTCGGCGTGCTGGTCGAAATGTCCGAGGATCGGAGGTGTCTGAAGTCTTTGTTTCAGTTCGTCGAACGCCCGTTCTTGTTCTTCTGCCCAGTGAAACTTCACGGCGTCTTTCGTAAGATGTGTGAGGGGCGCCGAAATTTTTGCGAAATCTTGAACGAAGCGCCTGTAGTACGCGCACAGCCCCAGGAATCTGCGGATGGCCTTCTTGTCCGATGGTCGAGGGAATTCGGCTACGGCGGATGTCTTCGCGGGGTCAGGGCGTACTCCTTCGCTACTAACGACATGACCAAGGAACTTAAGTTCGGCGTAGGCGAAGCGGCACTTCGTTGGCTTGAGTGTGAGCCCTGCGGTCTTGATGGCTTGGAGCACGGCCCTAAGCCGTTTCAAGTGCTCGTCGAAGTCGTGCGAAAAAACGACGACGTCATCCAGGTAAACGAGGCAGCTCTGCCACTTCAGTCCCGTTAGTACAGTATCCATGACCCGCTGGAAAGTCGCCGGCGCCGTACAGAGTCCGAAGGGCATCACCTTGAACTCGTAAAGTCCATCGGGCGTGACAAAGGCAGTCTTCTCGCGGTCCCGTTCATCGACCTCAATCTGCCAGTAGCCACTCTTCAAGTCCATCGACGAAAAGTACCGGGTGTGGCGTAAACGGTCGAGGGTGTCATCTATGCGGGGAAGCGGATAGACATCTTTCTTTGTAACAGCGTTCAGCCGCCTGTAGTCCACGCAGAACCTATGGGTTCCGTCTTTCTTCTTCACCAGCACGACTGGAGAGGCCCACGGACTGCTTGAAGGCTGAATAATATCGTCGTCAAGCATTTCTTGAACTTGTTTCTGGATGGTTTCCCTCTCCTTCACCGAAACTCGGTACGGCGACTGATGAATAGGGGGCACGTCATCGTCAGTAACAATTCGATGCTTCGCAACCGCTGTTTGGCGTAGCCTTGACGATGTGGCGAAGCACTCACTGAACTCAGCGAGAACGTCAGTCAGCTGTCGTCGTTGTGGGCCTGGGAGGGATGGGTCGATGTCGAGCTTTGACGGCGTGGTTCCCTTGTGGTGCGTCGGAGAGGCGTCTTCTGAGATCACGGCGATGGCGGCCGAGTCCTGAATTTCCTCGACGTAGCCCACAGCTGTACCCTTTGTAAGGTGCTGCGACTCTTGCCGGAAGTTGGTGACAAGGGCTACGGTACGCCCGTCCTGGAGCTCGGCTACGCCTCTTGCAATACCAATCCCTCGTCCAAGGAGAAGTTGGACGCTTCCTTCCAACAGTGCTATCCCGCAGGTGGCTTCGTCGGTCCCGACGGGGACAAAGACACTGGACAGCGGCGGCAGGTTTACGTGGCTGGTAAGGACTCGCACTGCAGCTAACGTCGCTTTGGGATCTTCCGCCGAGGGAACAGGTTTCCGAAGCGTCAGCTTGTTCTCCCCAAGGTCGATGATGGCGCCGTATTCACACAAAAAGTCCATTCCGAGAATGACGTCTCTCGAACAGTCTTGCAGAACGACGAACTTGACAGGGCAGGTTTCACCGTGGATCTCAACGCGAGCAGTGCACCTGCCGACAGGCGTGATGAGGTGTCCGCCGGCGGTTCGTATCTGTGGTCCATCCCACGACGTCGTAACTTTCCGAAGGCGACGAGAGAGTCTCCCACTCAAAACGGAGTAATCCGCTCCGGTGTCGACGAGTGCTGTCGCGTCGTGGCCGTCGATGATAACGTTGAGGTTATTCGACACTGTTACAGAAACGTCGTTTCGGGGCGTTGCGGCGTTAGAGTGGGAGAGCTCCGACGATCTTGGAGGATCTTGGCATCGTTCGTCTTCGGCAACACCACCTCCCGGCATTGCCGCGCCTAGTTTTCCCGACGGGACGCAATGGGTGACAGGCTGTCTCGGCGAGACCGGCGGAAGGGCGATGGCGAGCGTCGGGGAGATGGCGAACGGAATACTCGGCGGGGAGACGACTCAGGAGTTGAAGAGCGGCGGAGGTAGTCCTCGATGTCCCGAGGTCGCTCTCCAAGACGTGGTCGAGGGTCGTTGGGCGCGAACCCTCGTAGGCCGAGCTGGCGGTAGGGGCATCGTCGGTAGATATGGTCGGCTTCCCCGCAGTGGTAGCACAACGGGCGTCGATCAGCCGTCCTCCACACGTCGGTCTTCCTTGGCGCAACTTGTTCTGGACGAACGTGTGCCCGATCTTCCTGGCGTCGGGAATGCTGCGGCTCTGGAAGCACACGTCGGGGAGGCGCCATGTACGGACGCGGTGCTGATGGTGCTCGGCGGAGCATTTCGGCGTAGCTTACGGCTGGCTCCTGCTGTGCTGCTGCGGTGACGGCAACCTCGGGATGGAAAGCTCGGTGAACTTCCTCTCGGACGACGTCGGCGAGTGAGAGTGAGGCTGGGCGATCTGCAGCAGGTAGAATCTTCCGGAGCTCTTCCCGGACGATATCCCGGACGATATCCCGAAGGCTGTCGACACCGGTGGTGCTCAGGTCCGGAAGTGTAGCTGCGACGGTTGGAGAAGTAGGCGCGCCGGCGAGTCGGTGGTAGTGGCTTGCTCGGGCCGTCAGTGCGCGCTCGATGTTCGTGGCTTCACTCACAAATGCATCGACGGTCGTCGGGGGATTGCGAACCAGGCCTCCAAAAATTTCTGCCTTGACGCCTCGCATGAGGATTCGAAGTTTCTTTTCCTCAGCGGCCTCCGGGTCTGCTCGGGCACTTAGACGCAGAACATCCTCTACAAAGCTGGTCAGGCTTTCATTGGGGCCCTGCACCCTTGTTTGAAGCAGGTCCTCTGCTCGCTGGCGACGATGGTGGTTAATGAATGTTCGTTTGAGTTCGGCGACGCAGGACTCCCATGTGGGGAAGGAGGCTTCGTGGTTTTCAAACCAGTGCCTCGCAGTGCCTTCAAGCGAGAAGTAAAGGTTGTGGAGGCACTGCTCAGTCGTCCATCCGTTGTGGCGGGCTACACGTTCGTAGTGTCGCAGCCAGTCTTCGATGTCTTCGTGGATCTCCCCATGAAAAGGCGTCGGAGTCCGGGGTGCGACGGGCAGGACGACGACGCTGGCGGTGGACGGGTTCTGCGACGACTGGCTGTCCATCGTTGGTCTCGTTGGCTGCTTAGTCTTGGGCGGCAGAGGTCCGAATTCCGGGTGTAGGCCTTGGGTGCGACGACTGAACCGGATCTCGGAAGTGCTTTCGTTGGTTCTTCGTGGGCTAGGCGTCGGACTTGGACTGCGGGCCCTCGGAGGGGTACGCGGCAGGGGCATGCGGTACCCAGCACCTCCACCAAAATGTCACGGGTGGTGACCAAAAGAAACAATAAATACACAGAAAGAAATAAACGTTTAATGTGGCGAACTTGTGCCAAAAATAAAAGGAAATAGAAAAATAACAACAGGGCGTCGCGGGCGTCGAAGGCGGCGAAGCAGCAAGGTCGAACGCTGAGGCGAAAACTGACTCGACAAGGTCGCGGGCGGCCTCTTATCTAGAGTGCGTCGCTATCTCGAAGATTCGGCGAAAGCGGCTGGAGCGTCGCGTGATCGGGCGAGAATGAACACGCACTTTCTAGAAAACAAAAGCAGGAATAAATGATAGAAGTTACATGCGGTACATGAATAAACGAGAACTTTCTGGAGGTCCGTGACTGAGCGTTGCTTTCTCAGCCCTGGGCGCGGCAATATAGCTGCTATTTTGGTATAACCGACTTCGTTATAAACGGTCGCGACAGTATTTCCTATTTTTTAGAGCATGATTATTTTACTGTTAGCTTGGAACGCTTCTCACAATGTTAAAAAAAGCGACCATTCCTAATATATAGTCGGCTGTGTCCCACATCAGATCGTGCAATAATGGTCATACTTTTTGTATTTATGTCAAAACATATACGTTAAAGCGTGTTCTTGGGAGCAGCGTCCAGCTAAATGCCAACGCCGTAACCAAGTTTCTTTCGGAGACATAAAATTTCGAAGCTCGAGGAGTGGAGATCGCCAAAGTTTTGCCATTGTACTTTACACAGCCGTTAACTTCACACCGAAGCATGCACGTAGTAGTAATTCTATCGACTTCACTTATGAAAGGTTCACAATATTAAAAATTACAATAAAAATTTCTATGCGGAGCAATTTACGAAACACGTCAAATAAACACAGCTTAGAGACACATTCACAAACTATTTAACAAGAACTACTTCATATAAAAACGACGCACTATATGTCAAAATAATAGACTTTACGAACATACAAAGCACTATACTCAGCCACCATTATGGTTGTTCTGTTTGTGATGCAGAAACGCAGCTTATTTTTCTAAATGTCGCGAAATTGCTTTTCAATATTTCGAAGAAACTCCACTTTTTTACTTTTTTTAACTCTTCTTAACCGTTTACACACTACAGAAAGGGTGTACTCTTACAAACTTTTATCCCATATAATGCACCCTAAAACTTCAGTTCGATGTTCGGCGCAGTGACGACTCCAACGCTTTCGAAGGGCATGATAACGGTGTAAAATAGAACTTATTAAACAGCTAAAGTACGTATCAAAGGCTACAAGAAAAAAACAATAACGACAACAACAAAACTGAGGTTTTGCAATAGAGCCAAAAAAACTCCGATAATTGTTTTTGTACTCAGTAACACACACAATAGCTATTTGTATAAGTTGTACCACTTGGCTATGAAAAGTCGCCCCTGAAAATTGGTACCGTTCATTCGACGTCACTACGCTGCACGTCGAAATAAAGTTTTTAGGTGTCTTATAAGGGACAAGGGTGTAAGAATTTACCCCTTTTTCTGGGAGTGTAGTGACTTGAACAAACCTGTGATGGCAAAACATTGAGTAACATATGTCCTCCTTAAAAGCAGAACGACAACAAACCTGAACTTCAATTGATCTAGCTTGTATTCATTATAGGGGCTTGGCCGCACAATGCCGGCTTCAAGAAAACACTTTTTATAACCCACAAAAGACTGAGAGTGGTGCTGCTCTATCGTAGGGTATAGAAAGTCTTACTGTGCCTAGATTAGTTCGTTTTTTAGTTGTGTTTTTTTTTAATTGCTGTCAGAATAGAGCGTTGATTGCAACAGTGATGTTTAAAGAAGTTGGGCCATTCCCTGTTCATTTGTTTGTTCATTGCAGTTAAAAGATGTAAGAGTTCAGCTATTCTTCATCAACGCAACCATGACCGACCCTCTTCTCAACCTCTATGGTGGTCAGGTAATATTGCCGGGAAAAATCAGGTCGGATAATAATGCTCTTGGCTGTAAATGATGGCCGTCTGTGATGTTCCTTCCAGGAAACGAAGATAAACATCAACACTCCGGTTCCAGGGATATATGAGATGACCAAGCACTACTGGAACAAATATTTCATGATTCCTAAAAACGGTCACGAGTTGGACATTGCGTGAGTGTCTTAAGCCTCAGCTGATAAGTTAGTAAGGTCGGGAAGGGTGACGAATCAACTCTATACTCCCTTTATTCGTATGTCCGAGCGGTACTAACGTTACGAGCAGAGAGGGGAATTCAAGCTTCTCAGGAAGCGCTAGGTCACGGCGCGTTTGGTGTTTCTCTGCGTGTGTTAGTGCCATCTGGGGCCTTAATCTACACGGAGGGACCGAGCGGGATTGGAGAACCGGGACATCGACGCCTGCTGCGATTGGCCAACTCCGCACCGCTGAACAATTGCAGCAGGCGGCGATGTTCCGGTACCTTGGTCCTGTTTGTTCCCACCGTGTTAGGGCCCCCGATCTAATCAGGCTCGTAAGTATAGTCGTGCTACTTGTGTTTGTGTGAGAACTAGCTTTTAATTCCGATCGATACAAGATACTCCGCCGCCGCCATTGAGCATGCATCGTATCGTTATCAGGTATCATTATAGGGGGTATGGGAGATATCGGAACGATATTCAAGAACCCTATATGCTTTGTTTCACCTTAAAGGGGCGGTGCAACGATATTCAATTGGAATGTTTTTCACTTTACACCAGCTTACTGGCACTAGTGGGATTCAAGGATACTCGCACGCAACGCCACTGAACAAGAAACTCCTTTGTTGCGCTGTAATTTCGGGGACAAAACTGAGCGTTTTCATTCAATCTTTCCTTCGCTAAACCTGATGACGTAGTTGGGCGGTAGCGGTACCACCCAGTGACGATATTTAATGCGGCTCATAGATTGGACCCGAGCATAGCGTGACACTCGATTTGGGCTCGTGAGGATCGATAGCTCGAGAAACATTCGAGTAGTGTCCTGTGTCCAATCGCCGCAATGACGACAAAAGCCGAACCATAACAATGTCTGGAACTCAGCGCGTGTCCTGTGCCTTGCCAACCCCAGCGCATGGCTATGATCAACATTGGCGGCATATAATCGGCTACAGATCACGTGACCGCTTGTTCTGGCTGCGAGTTGAGGGGGTGAACTCTGCTCTTTTTTCTTTATTTTTTTCTGCGACTTCGACTGCGTTTGGTGAAAAACGAACGGAAATACGCCTCGCACGTGGGCTCATTTTCGTCTTCTGCGCATGAGAAAGGAAGTAGCGGTGACGTCAGAACGCCGAGCCCTGATTGGCTGATCGCGACCCCCTATCTCAGCGTCGTCTGCTTCTTTGCAACGTCGTCTGCTCGCAACATCGTCTGCGTATGTCTTACCTTTCCTGCGAATTTCGGAAGTGCAGGTCTTTACGAGCGAGCTCGGCTTCGCCTTTCAGAGAGGGCAGACGAAATAACTCAAGCGGTACGTTGTTTTTGTCTAACAACTAGCAGACGCACATCAAGGAGGGAAGTCAAAGAACTCACTGGCGAGGTGTCCCGTGGCGCCGAGGTTTGTTTGCTAAGAACCGAGAGTGAGCCTGTTAGTGTCCGCAAGTTTCCTCCCAAATACTTTTTCCCTCCTTTCGTGTGCGGCGAGACCCCTCATTCTTTAGCGGCGCCGGCGGGTTGGCGCAGTTAACGTCGTCTGCTTTACGTCTGCTAGTAAAAGCGATGGCTGCTTTACCTTTCCTGCGTCTGTCGGAGATTCACCGCTTTTTCACCGGCGAGAGTGACCGTTGCCTCGGGAAACAAGGAGATAACAAGAGGAAGAAATTGACCCTTTAATCTAAAACTGAGGTCAGCGATCAAAGTATAATACGGGAAGGTTTCACAAGGGTCGCGCGGGCATATTCCATTCAGCACACCAGCCGGTCGGGGGCAGACGGTCGCCGACTCGCGGAGTGCCTGCTAGGCCTAACTGCCGTGCTCGCTTGGTCGCGTTTGGTGGAATCGTGGCCGTTGGAGCTTTTCCCGGGTGTTTGTGGATCCAGCGTTCTTGTTCGTCGTAGTCTGTTTCAAGTACCTTTTACTTTTTTCTTGCTGCTTGAAGTCGGGACGCGTGAGAAGCGCACGTAGAAAAATAAACGTCCGTGGGTCGTCGCGACCGCGACGCTGTCGGCCATGCTGATTTGATCGTAAGAAGTGCGTAAGACAGCTTTGGAGCTGTCCGTAGGATTTCGTTGTAACCTGCGAAAAACTTACGAAAATTTTGTTTCGTCAATACGAATTTGTTCTTAAGTTATGTCTTACGCACATTTCTGGCGTAAGATCGTTTCGTGAATCTGGCCTCTGCACTTCCGAAAGTCGCAGGAAAGGTAAGACAGACGCAGACGACGGGGCGAGCAGACGACGTTGCAAAGGAGCAGACTACGCTCAGATAGGGGGTCGCGATCAGCCAATCAGGGCTCGGCGTTCTGACGTCACCGATACCCCCTGCGCAAGAAGCAGACGAACTTGCCCTCCGCATTTCACAGGTCATTAACGTCAGGGATCCGTTCTAAGCGGTATTTGCGCAAAATACAAAAATCGTTGCATCGCCCCTTTAATGGGATACTACAACGAAATGTCGGTGCTTATTTATTGGTCTGTACGTGTTCAAGGGAGCAGTATGACATCGGACACCCGTATCTCATCTTAGCAAAAATACGAAAATACATTTTAAAACGAATTAAACGATTAGAAAATGACGCCTGGTGGACGTCGCTAAAGCGTCGTTTCTAACGTCCGTCTAGGAACATTGACAGGTAGTGGCGATGCCTGTCTCGCCTAGAGCTATAGCCTCGCTGGTGCTTCGTGCGTGCAAGCGTGTGTAGCGTGCGCGCGAACGTAGCTTTGGAAAGCTTGTCATTGCATGCACTTACCCGCACGAGAAGAGACATGGCGACGGCGAGATGCCCTGCTTGCCATCGTCTTGTTGACGTCAGCCTCGCTGCAGCTTTGCTCGTTCCGAGACAGGCTGCGTCACGCTTGTGCCGGATGCCACGTGCTCTCCGCTGGCTGCTCTCCGAGCGCTCGCGAGAGTTGGCCATTTATAATTAAAAATGCAGCCATAAGACTCAAAACACAAACGTGCGTTTGTCATTATTGAATATTGTGGATCATATTCAGCCTATTTCTGAAAACTAAGGGTATATTTCAAATTTCGTTGATGAATCCTTTGAAGTACAGAAGCAGGACTCTACGTGCTGATAGAACCAATCAGACAGCATCGAAAGCGCACCATCACGGCGTTCGGCATGTTCCTAACGTAATCTATTGTCGCTGAACCAATCATAAATAAAATAAGCCCAGTGACTTTTTTGGCGCTGTTTGATTAGCTCGTAGCGTTAGCGGCGTCTGGAATTAAGCTGAAAGGATCCATATAGTGATCATAATTTGATGCGTCGTGCCATCTGTGTTATCATTCCCCCTCCCCCTTCCCCCCCCCCCCCCCCCCCCCCCCCAAAAGAAGAAACAAGTACCGTATTTTCCGGGCTTTCTTCCGTACCCGTTGTATAGTCCACAGGGGCCAATTTAGGCCGAAAAAAAGTGTTTGATTAGATACTTTGAATCCGGTACCCAAGCAGCACACTTAACCCGCGCAGGATTGGGTTAGACTGGTGCGAGCTAGAACCAACTTGGCTCAAGCTTGGCACAAGCTTGCGCCAAACTGGCCCATGTATGAGCCGGGGAAGTGTGCTGCTAGGGTGCATATTCCGCAGGACATTCATAGTCCGCACCAGGTGCTTTAGTCGACACGAAAATCTTCTCATACACAGCGCAACTTGAAAAATGCCTGCTTTCTTAGCTCACAAAGAAGCTTGTATTACGCATAAATCATCAATAACATAATCTTACATTCACGAAATCCACCACGCCTCGCCATAATGGACGATCCTGAAAAACAAAATTCCTGTGTAGTCCGCATGCGTAGAGGGTCCGCACAGCCTAAAATTTTAACTTTTAAACATGTGTAGTCCGTTGACTATAGCCCAGAATATACGGTATTTGATGAAAATAAAATGTTAAATTTTACTTTATAGATTATATTAGCAAAGAGAAATAAGTTTACGTTGAAACGAAACTCAGGCCACAGGTGACGCCTCAAAGATTTTAAGTCAAAGACATAACCACGGGGCTTGAATCCTTCGCCTAGGATACTTGAGGTCGAAATAAAACCTCGACAATATAAAGGCAGTCTAGTTTTTGGAAAGTTTATCAGTAGCGCTAGGTATAATTTTTTTTTATAAGTAAGCTTGTACCAGAACATTTCAAAATATTTCGTAACATGATCTTATCATTGCTGGCAGTTTTTGTTTTAAATTTTAGTTACATTGTTCCAACTGCGTGCCATCGAAACAAAAACAAAATATACCCGGTTTCCTCTTTTAGATACACTGGCTCCATCTTCGACATTTACAGCACCTATCACTACGATTTAAACTCTTTGTGTGAGTAAAGCCGTTTATTCAAGTAATTATTTCCAATATTTCTTTAATACACTATACGTCTCAATTGGTGACGAACTATAAGACTTGTGCCTGAACCGTTACAAAATAAAACCACTTTGAATGGAACTTGAATTATGCATAATACTTGCGTAAAATACGTGCCGTATAGCTTCAAAACATAGTCTAATAATAACTCATGATTTTGCAGACATTTCTCATGGTTCCTTCCACGGACCCATGTACGCTAGAGACAAGAACTTGTAAGTTACCCTGCCCTATTCTTCGTCAACTTATGTCCACTTTGCTTTTCTGCGCATTTCTTGTTTGTTTCACACATTCTGTTATTAGTTTATTTAGTTTCTTTCAAAATATTATTTTCATTATTGGAAATGCTGCAAAAACTACACCTAAAATGTCGAACGTGTTATCTTAAAATTTGCTACCCGCAGGGTGCTGGATCTCGTAAAAAGTGGATATCGAATTGGGCGTAATTTGCTGAAAGCCATTGACGAAAGAGGTAATAATCTTATATTCTCCTCTTGTTTTTTTAGATCTAATTAGCAAAAAATGAAGTAAAATATGACTGTGTCGCTGCAGCTTAAAAGCGAGAATGTTGGAACGGGTATCTAAAAAATGCGGCAGATCAGTTGTAAATCGAAACGTACCAATATCTATGCAGCACATATAATCGAAACACTGAGGACGCGAGAAAATACATGCCACGGAAAATGCATGGTTTGTGTTTGAGGACATTTGAACCAGCCTTGGTATGGAAGAGTAATAGAAGTACATGTCTTCCACCTTCCAGTGCGCGCTTGTTTAAAAGTTAGTTTATACTTAGGTATGCTTTCAAATGACGCTATGAGACACTACGAGATGTTTTGGCCTAAGGCTACGTGTTTTAGACCTTCGTTTTGAGATTTATCCCCATTTTTTTACGGGAGTATATTTCTCGCATGGGTAGATCAAAGTCCCTTCTCATTTTAAAATTTGTTCTAGGTGGATACATCGACTCCAACCACATGAGGACAGACTGGATGGGGTACTATACCCGACAGAGACTTTCGACGAACAAGGACTGCGTTTACAAACAGTACTCTGGAAAACGTGTGGCTGAAACCAGGCTAACGGTAAGGTCATCGTTTAATGTTATGAAGTGTGTGATTTGTCATTATAGTATATTATAGAAACAAAAAAAGTCCGAGGACACCAACGCACTTATAAGTTTTGAATGCGAAACCATGAGTGTCGTTCTTCTGCTCCCTTAGCTTGTGTGCGGCGTAGTAGCGTGGACGGCCACGTTTCCCCGGACGACGGCCGAGCGCGCTCTCGTGAAGTGGCGGCGCCGCGCTGAGCTCAGCCGTACAAACTCCCCGGAGCTTGCCCAAGCGGGCTCTGCCGCTAGGCCTGCACCGCCGCACCGCCGCACCGCTCTTACCGGCGGCCGGGTGGCTGCGTGTGCTGCGCCGCCATAGAGAAGGCTTCTCTGGTAGCATTTTTTGGAACTGCGTTGCACGAGAGTCAATGGGAGCCTCGTTCCTTGATGACGCGCGCCAGCCAATGGGAGCATAATCCATCAGAAATCAGCTTCATTGCGCTCCACTGGGAAAGGGGATTTTAGGTGTCGTCTGACCATCATTTGGTGTGGTTTCAAAGCTGATGACGTCGGTTCGCCCCATGGGACAGTTAATTCGTTTGCATTAATAAATACAGCAGATAGAAATATGCGGGCACGTACTCCATCTATGAAACCCCGACCGTCTTACCTCCGCGTTGCTAAAAGAATGTTGCGTTTGGAGTAAATTAAGTTGCAATTTACCATAATATTTGTTTTGGATACTTATAAGCGTAACACTTTATCAACTTGTTTTTGATTTTTTTCATACCAGCTGAACGCGAACGCCACCGTGAACGAGGATATGATTGACGTTGCAGTCATCACACCGTTGCTGAGGGTAAGCATGTGCTCGTACTTTTTGTAGACTTCAGCACCTGAAGTACGTCTTAAAAGCATATGAGATTAACGCCATGGAAAATACCCTTTATCTGGTAGATTTGTGCAGTCGATATAAAACAAAAAAAGATAATAAATAACGAATAGAATCATCTGTCTTTTTAAAATGTTGGGTATCAAGGAACAGAGCCTTTCTATAGACAGTCACCGAAGGTGTTCGGAAATATAAAATGTAGCTATGTGTCTATTTAAATCAACATTATTCATTATTTCACGAATAAAAAAACATACTTGATTAATAAAACTTAAAATGAACGCTTAAGGCGGCGAACTTGTGCAGATTATTATAAAGTAACAAAGACCTACTTTGAAGGCGACGGAAGGACGACTGACTCAAGTAGCCATGCGAAGCTCCTTTTGTAAGCGCGTGGGTATCTAGAAGGTGCCGAGCTCGAACAAAGACGATTCTCGAGTCATTTGGAACATTCCGGTCATATAAACAAAAAGAGAGATAAAAAGGACAAGCGCTGGCAGGGATTAAAGCCCAGCCAGCGGCGTGGGAGTCGAGCACGCTGCTGACTCAGCTATTTGCAGGCGGCAATATACCCAACATAAATGACAAGACAATCACGGATTCGTACATCAAGAATATAAATGAGTTCTGAAAATAAAGAGGGCATCCAATATAGGCAACCTGCAATGCTGTTTGGGTTGGTGCTATCTAGCGACTGAAACAAGAAACATTGGGTGTCCTTGGTACTGGCGGCTGCATGGTTCAAACTTGAGCCATTACTCTGGTGGCGCCACTTAGCCTAGTGTCTGCAGCAAGAAATACTGGGTAGACTAGGAAGCCGTGATCGCATAACGTGCCAGTACAGCGGAAGCTACGGCCCTGGCGGGCCAATCGGAACGTGAGTATGTATCACCGGAGTGAGCTTTTACTGCGAAGATGTATCAGGCTTTTCGCTGCGTCAGGCTCCAGTCTGTGTGCGTTGGGCTCGTATACGTAGTGCATATCGGAAGCCGTCGGCACGCAATGTGGGGCTTATTGTTCACCCTTTGTCAAGTTATAGCGAGAAAGGGTATAACTAGGCTGTATACTTTCCGGTTTTAACCGAAAAACACCGATAAACATCCGCCGGTGTCGAAAATACAAAATTGGTTAAAACCGAAAAAACCAAAAAAACGGCGGTTCTTTCATGAACAAAAGGTAAGGGCGCAAACGAGCTGGTGTTGGTTAAATATTTCGACAAAACCCCGAGACTGGGACAAAAAGGGACGGACAAACCATAGCCTCCTCTATACGGAGGAGACAAACACAAAGTCTTTGTGTTTGTCCGTCCCTTTTTGTCCCAGTCTCGGGGTTTTCGTCGAACGGTTCTTTCATATATTCGAGCAAGCGCTGGTTTTTTCACCAAAAAAGTCCTGTATACTTTCCAATTTTAACCGAGAAACGTCAATAAACGTTCACCAGTGACAAAAACAAATTGTTAAAAAACGGTTTCTAAATATTTTTTTTTCTTAAATGTGTTTTTTTTTTCACTGAAAAAATCATAGGCAAACTTCCGTCAAACACATTATCTTACCAGGAATCATGCAGTTTGCCTGGCTTTCTTTTGTGACCTACATGGTCTTGAACTCTTGGAGGACAGTAGATTTGTACCGCTGTTCTCCAAGGTCAGCGGTCAGCTCCTGGGCCACCGAGCTTGAAGATCACTATCAGCGGCCCGAGAGGTTAGTCACAGCTGGCCAGTACTGTCCCAAGCATCGTTGAACGTTTTGTCTAGCGCAAATGTTGAGCGGGCATTCTCGAAATTGTGCGTCGTCAACGGGAAGGAGCGAGCGTCATTGACAGACATGAGCGTAGGAATGAGCGCTTGCATATGTTCTTGCATATACTACAGTAATCGAGTGTGAAGGAGATTGTGTAAAATATGCAAATAAAATTTGGACTGTTTTTTGTCCCCAGTAGTAGTTTACATTCCAAATCCCCCCCCCCCCCCCCCCCCCCCCCCCCCCCCCCCCCCGCCACCCGACAATAACATTTTAGTGTCTGGACGAGAGAATTCACCGAAAAGCACCGGTATTGGTGAAATAAATAAACTCCGATAAACGTCAGCCGATTTTTGTCATAAATAGACACCGGAAAGTATATACCCTAGGTATAACCGTGGGTTCTTACTCTACTGGCGCCGCCTGGCTGTTGCCGGCTGGCTATATGCAAAATTCTTACGGTTCAGCTCATGCAAGCTTTCATCCGATAACTTGGTTTTCATCTTGTACTATCCATGCACTTAAGTTACTTTGTGCCTACAAAATCCTCCGGTATTTCGGTACAAATTCTTTAACTAGTCCAGTATTTGTCAACTGACAGGTGTGGTGTATATTTTGTATTGCGCTTACGTAATGCGTGAACAGAATGCCCTATAGGAGTGCTGCGCGGTTTGTGCGAGACGTCGCACTAATTGTCAGAAAGGTTGGAATGTCTAGAAACTTCAAATATAAAAACCGTCTTTAAGCACATTGTTGATTTTATAAATTAAGCGCCTTTTGTGTTACGCAGAAGAAATCACGCCAACTTCAAGGAACTTGTATTTGGTAAAAAAAAAATTAAGTGAACCGTATAAACAGCTTACCCCAAGTTCATGTCTCATTTATTTATTCAAGAGCGTCATGATTCGCAGTCAAGCTCTATGTTGCGCTTCAGATGAAGAGAGGGTTGGGGAATAGATTGCACATTAGTTCGTTGTTAACGCTATCAACCCAAGATTTACATGTCATTGGCTGAGATCAAGAGGAGGCTTTATTGCCAATCACCGGTAATATGAAACAAAAACATTCATAAACGCTCATGCAACATAACAATTACTTCGCCTGTATCAGTATAGTAGTCATTTCTCTGCTGTGAACGCGAACTCATTCAGTCATAATACCAACATACTCTTGTCATGTTTGTTTTTGGCAGTTTTACAGAAAAATGATTTACGAAAAGGCCTACCCATTTCCGGACTATCGGTTATCTGGATTACACCATGTGTCGTCGGACCAGCTGTTCTTCTACTCACTGGCTGAGGTAAATATTATAGCAATATAATGAGCATTGATTTCTAAAAAGACACAGCAGGGAAGGCATTTCAAAATTAGGAGAGACAACCAAGCGTTTGGTTTAATAATATTGAATTCAAGCATTGTTTAATGACGTTGCTAGACAAGGAGGTTCGCCTATGAGTACTGCGAGAATTCCCGTTATTTACTCCCCCATTTTTATCTGTTTCATTGGCGTTAGTTATGCAAATTAGCGTTTATTATCTACGTGAATTTCGCGAGCGTTTATAGACTGAAAGTTATCAACATCTTGTAGACCCTAAGATGGGGAACGATAAAAAACGGACGAACACAAAATCTTTCTCTTTTCCATTAGTCTAAAGTCTATTAATTGGTGTGCTCATATCAATAAATTTCAACCGCGTTTGAGATTTTGTTGTGTTTGTCCGTTTTTTTATCGTTCCTCAGCTCAGGATTTACAAGATGTCGATTAATTACCAGCTCGCCTGCACCCGGTCACTGCTTACAATTTGAAAGTTATACATTTAGTTTGCCATTTTTTTACAGTCATTTTGCGAGAAAACCTCTAGAGAAGCTGCAGAGGAGCTTATTCAGAACGGCACATTTAGCCCGATGAAGTACAGGTGAGACAAGGTTTTCTATATTTTAGAGTATGGCTATATTTTACCCCCATACTATTTGAAACAGGAAGAGTACATGCATATCGGCTATATGTACGCTATTTTTCCCATAGCAAAATAATAAATTTCAGAACAAAACCGTTTCTTGTCATTTATTAGATAAAATGTTGCTTTAAATTTTATTTATCTTAAATTCCCAGTAAGATAATAATGTGTTAAAGCTATTTTGTCAGCAGAACCGGCAGTAACATTGCTACTAACTGTTTTGAACAACCGGCGTCGTTCGGCGCACATAACATTATACACTTCGTTTTAACAGAATCAACAACTCTCTCCGAAATTCGGCGTACTTTGCGAAGGCCTTCTTTTGTCCAGTGACCAGTCGCATGAACGCCGGCAAGCGCAGCTGTGACTTTTGGTCGACCTTCAAGAAAGATTTTTAAGCATGTCGATGCCGTTTACCCCCTTCTGGCGCCACGAAGAAATAAAATGGTCTGTTGAATCATCCGACGAAAAGTGTTTGCTGGCAGCAGAACCATGTCCCATTAATACGCACCCCGTTCAAATAAATACTACCTTAATTTAAACGTTTCCGGCGACGAACAGGGTAAATACATGCATTTTTGACTCGCTATAATGAACGAATTAAGGAATCCTTTTTGGGGGAATGGAGGTGTCCATATCTTACGAGGTATTACTGTAACCGGTTCTTTAACACTGCCCCCCTGTGATGTCTGTCCTGTCCAGCAGGAGAAAGATCCGACCAAGCTGCAGGTGCTTCATGATTTTTCGACGGTCGCTATTTTGTGGGGAAGCTTATATATTGGCGGTCGGAACAAAGGTTTTTATGCCAATCTCACAATTTTTCGTCTACAAATTGATTGCTGTCTATCTCAAGAAACCGTATAATTTTGTTTGTGCACAGAAGTGGCGGAGGATGGTGCCTTCTGTTATGTGTTTTATTGTGGCGTGCCGAAGGCGAGTATTCGCATCTTTCATGGCCTATGGGGTGTATTCACTGGACGCCATTTTTGAGAGCGATGTTAGAGCACATGCTCAGAACGAGCTCACATCCCTAGCCTGCTAAGACTTAAGGGTGCGGAGTGGACGTTCCAAAAGCACCCTGAAAGCTCGCCGCCAGCACGCGCTCAGCGGTCGCGCACACAGCATTGGCTACCAGTGAACACTCTCTATGGCGAAGTGCGCGATCAAAAGCGTCGCTGTGGTCGGCCTTCCACTATGACGGCAGCAAAGGTTTTCTCATTGACAGAAATAAAAGTAATGTAAGAACTTCAATTTTGACGGTGTCACCAGTGTTGGTTTCAGAGCGCAATGATTTGAATCTTCCACCATGCTAATTTTCAAACACCATCATACTTGTTTTTTGCAACGTAATTATGTCACGAGAGGAAACCATAGGCGGGCGCCACCAAAACATCTCGCCGCTGATGGAAGGTGCACCAATTCCTATCAAAATGGTGGCCGTAATCAGGATGACCGTCGTAACGGTTTTATATATGACATTTCGCGGGATCGCGGATCTCCGCTTGGTCGCTGCAGCGCAGGTCCGGCCTCCGGAAGTTCCAAATCGGCCGTCTTGGGTCTGCGTAAAGTCAGCCGGGTGAACCATTGCAGAGGCTGGGCGGCTGCGTGCTGAGAGACACGTTCTTTACTCGTCTGCCGTAATTCGCCGAAGAAGTTTTTCAAAACCTTGTGGGAACGATTGTGGGAGCCTTCGAGAACTCATGGAAGTTTTTACAAAAGTGCAGCACTCCAGGAAAAAGGCAACTCGTCGAACGCAAGTCTCGTGGACAGGCGGCGTGATCACAGGAGACGCCTTGGCACGCTGAAGCGACACGCCTCTGTGCCTTCGCACATTCAGGTACCGAACAAGATTCGACGCCGTATAATTCTGTTAACCATTTGGAAAACTGACGTTGATGTTTGGGCTAGTTGATATTTTATGCATAAAAATTAAAAACAGCGTAAAGACACGGACAAGAACAAGCAGGTTGACGAACAACAGTGCTGACCTGCAACTGGTTTCTTTATGTTAATATTGATTATAAATACTGCAACGCAACAGAAACAACCCCCCCCCCCCTTCTAAAAAAAGAAAGACTTCACGTGCTCCTTAAGCACAGTAACGCGTTGCTTCAATGTATCTAACAAGCAACACTATTTTTCTGACAGGGATGGTGCGCTAACACAGTTTGACCATCATCACCCAATCTCTCGTGCTTCTATCATTTCTCGAGCTAGTCTATTATTGTTCTTTCTAGCCACTTCATTATTGTAAACGGTAAGAGTGTACTGGATGTCACGGAAGTTCAAGCCCAGGTGTCCTGACAATCTTAAACACGTTGTACTTATGTTCTCTTATACCCTAGTTACACGGGCGCTTTGAACTGTCGTTGAGTTCAATCACAGTTATCGGCCCCAACTGTGATTGAACTGAACTGAACTGAGATGGTGCTACACGGCTCTCTAGAACCCAGTTGAAGCTAAAACGAAACTAGTTATTGTGCGTCGTGATCAGTTTATTTGTTAAAGTAATCTACTCGGAGAAACATATTTTATTTACTATAAGTATACCGTACATTATGTTCAATACCTTGTTGCTTTTTAGCGGCGTTTACATCAGTACCAAAGCAGACTCAGGGCTAAGTTGCGAATATTTTAGGCTAGGTGGGGCTAGCTGCTACCTGCTACGAATGGACAGATTACTATCTGTCCATTCACACAGCTGGTCCCGCCGCCATCTTCGCTCGTTTGGTGGCTTGTCGGCTAGCCGGGATCGTTTGAGTGGCAGCTCGGACGCCTAAATCTATTCCTTCCCGGATATTTTGCTGCTACGATTCTTTTTAGACGCCTCCCCCTGCATTCCGAAACAGTAAGTGCCTCGGAAACGATGGTCGGCGGCAGCGGTTCCACGGACAGGCGCCATTTTACCTCAGTTGGGGAAGTCCGTTCAGTTGAACTGAGGTAGGGGAGCTCAGTTGAACTCAACCGTCATTAGCGGCTCGATGACTGTTGGCGCCGTCGTGTAACTCCGGCCGATCGCGATTGAGTCAACTGTCGTTGACTCAACGGCAGTTGAAAGCGCCCGTGTTACTAGGGTATTAAACGATCATTAAGGCATCGCCCCTTTTGCCCGCGGTACCTCCGACCGCACGACAATGGAATGGAGTACGCATCAACCACTACACAAGTCACAAATCGGGAATGGTGCTTCTTTGTGCATCTCTGGTTTTCCTTAACATTAGAGTTGACCTTCCTACACTGCGCAGACAGCTTTTCAGGAGCTGAAAAAAAAAAAAAAAACACATCAGCATCAGCCCTACGGCCAACTTTTTTTAGATTATGACTTGTACTAAACTTCTTGTACTACCCGGTATCCCCTAATGAGCTGTTGCTGTCTGCTGTAGACAGAATTGACAGTCATGGTTCTGTCGCCTTTCAGAATAAATCTGGACTCAGTGTGGGCTCAACTTAAAACTTGTATCCATTTATCTAAAGGCGACATTCGCAACTTGGAATAAGGGCGTCTTTACTCAAAGAAATGTCCTCTGAATGGGATCATGCATCGCCCCTGTACTTAACGACGTCTATTTTGCGTTTTACGATATAGTCTTGTCAAGAAAGTTAGGAAGTTCGAGGCAGACAAACACTTTTAGGTTCGTAGATGATTTCTGAGTGCTACTAGATATTGAGAAAGAAGGTTTTGAGGTCGAAGTATCTTGTGAATTTCCTTCTTTTCAAGAGAATCTGGAGTCTCTGGTGTTGACGTATCATCTCATGCGTGTTGGTTGTATGATCCAAGGTATGATCCTGTCCAAGCCTGCCCTCACAGAGTTAAATAAAGCTTTGACAGACAAGCTTGAAGGTTCGGGGCGAAGGGGTATCCTTACTTTTTGACGACAGTTGCTGAGAGCTTGCTTAAGAAAGAACGCCCGACAACTACTGCGCAATGTGATAGGGTTGACAACAAAGTAGTCAGTTTTACCATCCTACCTTAAGATTTGACATAATTTAAAGAAAATTGGTCCTAGGGCTGGTGCTGATGGTTTTTTTTTCAGCTCCGGAAAAGCTGTGTGAGCAGTGTAGGGAGGTCAACTGCAATGTTAACAAAGAACAGAGGTCAACAAAGATACACCTTGCCTGAGTTGTGACTTGTGTATAGGGGGTTTCTCACTCCATTCCGCTGTCGTGCGATAGGAGGAACGTTGGGAAGATGGGGCGATGCCTGAATGAACGCGTTACAGAACATAAGCACAACGTGTTGAAGGTTGTGCCAGGACATCTAGCGTTCTCTTGTTCCTCTGACGTATTTTCCCGGCTCTCCTCCTCAACTCGAATAAATTCGAGCAGAGGAGCTCTCAGGTGAATGTTCTCTGTTGAATGCTCGGGACCGGCGCCCGTCACTGCGGTGGCGTTCACAGTGTCCTCCGACAACATCTTCCGGTTGTAGTCCAGGGACATGTCCCTCGGTAGTGCTCGCAGAAGGACCGGGTAGAGCATAGCGCAGTAGGATTCGTCGCCCACACCCACTACTCTAAGACCCCATATGGTAGCTGATCCATCTCCGGTGAGTGTCGATCTCAGGTAATTAAACTTTTCCGATGGAGTCAGTTCCGGATCCTCGGGGATTGTGGTTTCAAACTGCTCCCAGAATGCTTGCCAATTCTTTCGGTGGAAGTTGAACTTGATAAGTTCTAATTTTGAGAGTTTGACTTTCGCTTTTACGAATGTTGCTCTGTGGTGGTACACCCGCCTGCAATATGAAGGTGAACACCTTACCTGGTTTCTTGCCTGTTTTAGGGCTCTCTAAAGCTATGTTACCTCTCATCGTCTCAAATGGTACTTGGCTTGGGGTCTAAACTTTGCGTTCTAGCCCTCTTCTGGAACAGAGCGTGCTCCAAAACTTGCAGGAGCGTCAAAAACAAGAAGGGGGCTGTTCACCTTCATATCGCTTACGGGTGTACAATCTGGATGCCCATCAGACTTTTCATGTGGTCGTGCACCAGAGCCTCTTGCTTGCCGAACCGCTGCTGTAGAAGGTCGATCGCGTCCACGTAGCACTGAGCGGTTGGCTTTCCAAGGGAGTCCAAACTCGTACCTTCGATTGACCTTGGTAATAGTGGCTCTGGTACACGACCAGAAGAAAAGTCTGAAGGCCGTGCATTGCCGTGACTATCAGCGCACTCCCAACTTTGACAAGTATGAAATGATTTGAAAGAACAGCAATAAACTCACTGGAGGAATTATAGAAACAAGGGAGATTGGGACGTTAGCGCCAAACTGTGTCCGCGCACCATCACTATCTCTGTCAGAAAGAGAGTTTTGCTTATAAAACACCCCATTCACGCGGTCGTAAAGGTGTCTTTAGCATCTTTAGTTATGTGACCTTTATGGTCAGCGGCGAATCAGTTCGCGATCCACC